CGGTGTCCCTGCTCCTGCAGGGGGGTTGGACTAGATGACCTCTAGGGGTCCCTTCCAATCCAAAACATTCTATGATTCTATTCTATTCTGTGTAAAGCTTTACTACAGAAAAGGCAGAAATAAATCATTCATTGTGACCAAAACCAGTGAAGTGAAATTAGCAGTTGTGCAGACTTTAGGTTAAACATAAAGAGAGACATTAACACCTGGGCTGGCAAAGCACTGGAGTAAGTTGCCTAACTAGAGCATGGACTGTCTGTACTGGAAGTTTTGAGCAGCAGGTCAGACAGGTAACTGTTAGGAATTTAATTTGTCTAACTCCTTCTGCCATGAATCACAGAAGAAGGACCACAACTTGCCTGCCATGGATATTTTTTCCCCTGATTTCTGAATCGGAATATCGCTTGCAGTTGCAAATCTGTAGGATCTATGTGAGGCTACTTCAAGGGGACATCTGGTGGACCAACAGTGGGAGGCAGAAGGCAATTTTCTTTGATAATATGATTTTTCACAAACAGGTATAAGGTGGACATCTTGACATCAGCTGAAACTAGAGATGAAGCAGTTGTCTAGGTAAACTGCTGAGTTACCATATCAGTTTTTGCAGTTTCACATGCTACTGCTTTTCTCTGAAATAGCCATAATGTTTTATCAGTGGCTGGGGATTTCTTTTTAGGCAAATAGCTAATTTTAAAACATTGTCTTTCATGGCAGAGGCCACGTGAGAAAACCACTGAAGAAATTTTTAATACCGTCATTGAAGAATTGTATCCAAATAGAAATTACTGTGTGTCTGTTATGGTCACTGCATCTATGAACAAACATTCCATCCCATCAGCCTGGAAATGTATGACTGCAGACTCTGAAGCTCAGCAAGGTAATTGGGCTGTGGTGCAGGAATGGATTCTCTGGCTTAGTTATGTGCAAGTGTTTTGTTTTTATGTAGGAAGATTTACAAGTCAATTGATCCTAAATATAATGAGAAAGTACCTTCTGAGTGATAAATATTGTGAGGGCTACAAATCTATTGTTAATACTGTGAGCCATACAACTCTCCACTAACTGCATAAATAGTTATCAAAGATGGTGTAATTTCTTTTTTAATTCCTGAATCTAATTTGAGATGTTTTGACTTTGGACCAGGTGACCTCCAGAGGTCCCTTCTAACCAAAATTATTCTGTGATTTTAAATAGCTTTCTGAATGTGAAATATGAAATCTGGTCATTGGAAACTTCATTCATGTATGTCTATTTGTTTGATTTTTTTCACTTGCAGATTATCACATAGCTACAATTACAGGTGCTATATGTTTTTCACTGGTGGTTGCTGCTGCCCTGAAGTGTATGCATGCAGGAGGTTATATTCTTCACAAAAAATCACTTCCACATATCTTGGTATGTAATAATTTTCATATTTAACCTTACTGGTTGGGAGGAGGAAGTCTGCCATCTGAAATCTCTAATCCTGTGTATTAGGTACAACTTATGTAAGTATGTTTAATGTTAATTTGCAGTTCACCTATGTCAAAAATAGTCTATAAGCTGCTAAATCTTGTCTGTTCTGCAGAACAAATATTCAGCCTTTTTCAAAACCGTTTCGTGCTACTTCTGTGACAAGTTACTAACAGAGATAGAGAAGTGATCATGCCGCCTTACTTGGTGTTTGTCAGGCCACATCTGGAGTACTGTGTCCAGTTCTGGTCCCCATAGCGCAAGAAAGATGCAGACAGATTGGAGAGGGTCCAGAGGAGAGCCATGAAGATGAGCAAAGGGCTGGAGAACCTGACCTGTGAGGAAAGGCTGAAGGACTTAGGTCTTTTCTCCCTGGAGAAGAGAAGGCTTGGTGGCGGGGTACCTCATTACAGCATTCCAGTACTTAAGGAGTGGCTACAAACAGGACAGAAGCTCTCGAGACAAGGGGCAGTGTGTATGAGTTGCACTGTGGGAAGTTTCATCTCGGTATAAGACAGAAATTTTTTACGCTGAGAAGAATCAATCAGTGGGACAACCTCCCCAGGGATGTGGTAGAGGCCCCATCCCTGGAGGTTTTCAATATGCGGTTGGGCAGGGTGCTAGATAATCTCATGTAGGTTCCCTCTCCCATGAAAGGTTGGACCAGATGATCTTTCAAGGTCCATTCTGACCCAGGCTGTTCTATGATTCTATGAAGTTAGGGGGTAGGCAGTAGGGAAGGGGAGACACACCACCCCAACCCCCAGAGTCACTTTAAATGAACCCCTTGTGGTACACAGAAGCAGGCTAGGTCTTACAGCAGAGCACCCAGTGTGGGACAACCTACCTCTTGCCCTTTGAAAATTGCCTGATAAGTAAACCCTTCCTGCAGCAGACAAATTTCTTCCACTATCTGAGCCAGATCAATAACTCTGAAACAAAAAACCTACTCCAGCTCTTAGGTGACATGCATAGGGAGAAGACCTGTTCTCCACCAAGAAGGATGCTCTGAAAACATTCAGGAGCAATGTGTATCCATTGCTCCTTAGCAAAGCAGTTTCTGGCACATTTTGTCTCCATTATTTCACCCTGCAGCATTGTACTCCTCTCTAAGAACAAACCCAATTAACCTTATAACACTTTTCCATTTATTACACCAAAAAATCAGTGTTCCCTGGAGATTTGAGTGTAGTTTAGCCAGGTCCCTGGTTGCTGGACTTTAAAGGCATTTTGAGAGAGTCTGCAACTAAAAGCAAATGTTTTAAGCTTGCCTTCAAGGTCTTTCCTTTATCACATTTGCTTTGGAAAGCAAGCTGAAAAGACAAAAGGTAGCTTTGAGACCCAGTTGGGTATGGGCGTGTTGTTCCTGTAGTGGTGCATAGAACTGGCCTAGAGTTGGGACTTTTGGTCTCATTATCCCCAAAACCTGGGCCAGTTATTTAGGCATATCTGGAGAAGAACAGAGTCACTGTTAGTGCTCTAAGACTTTTTTTTCTAAAGCTATGCTTCGTGGTTATTGTCCACCAAAGGAGTCCAGGACAGCATGTGAGAAGTGCTAAAAGTAAAAGTTCAGCAGCCTATTAAGAGCAAGATCTGGATGGTTGTTAGAAATGATCTCACACGCAACAAAGAAGAACTTACTCTCAATTCACCTCAGCAAGGAGACAAAGGACCAGACCATCAGAGAAATTCCTTAGAGATGAGACACTGCTTTGAGGAAGCAGTCTTTAAAGCATGTTGTTTCTCAGATTTCCTGAGCCTGCTTTGTAACATCAACGGTAGCTTCTCAGTCAAAGGAAAAACCTTCTTTACTGAAATCAGATACACCTTGCAGGTCTCCAACCTTCCAGTTCCATACGTATCTCATACCATAGGTTGGGATGCAGTTACGTGCAGATGTGTCCCTGCCAGGAAAGTATCCTAGTTGTTAATTCCAGAACTGTTACTAGCGAGCTCAGGATCACTTCTCTGGTAGCCTGATGTCTGTCTTCCTTCTCCAGTCTTGGGGATGATTTATTACTGGATTCTGTTACAAACAGGGGTTAGCGAAAAGGATGCCCAATAGTGGAAAACTCAGTAGGAAAAAAAAGGGTATTTATAAGCAAGTTATCTCTGCCAGAACCTAGAGCTGGTGTAGTATCTTAGAAACTAACTCCTGGACCAGGCTGTAGTGATCTACCTGAATACTGGAGTTGAATGAAAACAAAAGGCAAAGGAAAGGAAAGAAACTTTGGAAGCAAACTTACTCGGGGTGGGGGTAGGATGGGCACAGACACAAGGCAAATAGTGCCTGCATCACCTTCCAAAGGCTAAGCTGTTCTCAGTAGTCACATACGGTGACTGGCAAAAAAGTCCGTGATTAAGGAAGAGTACTTAAGGAAGAAGGGTAGGTAATGGCAATGTATCACTCAAATTGTTCCACTATTTTGAATAAAGTAATCTTTCTTTGACTTTTTCTGTGATCAAGTGTCATGTTTTAGCACTTGAGGAAGCCAGTCCCAAGCCAGCTATTTTTTTTTTTATTTTAATAGAAAGAGAGGAGACTGAACTGCCACTAAAGTTCAAGCAAAAATAATGAGGTTGCTGGGACTTGTTTCTATCCATCTTTACTTGCCTTTTTTTTTTTTTTTAATACAGTCTATGACTTCTTTTACACTTAATTCTATGGGATTATTCAGCATAAATATTTTCCATTTTCTACAAACATATCCAGATCAGATTGGTATCAACTTTTTCTGAGACTGTTTTTCCTCACGTTTCTATCTTTTGCTATGTCATTACCTTCGTATCCCTACAATTGCTGAATGTGACTTTGCCACGCAATGTCTAAGGTTAATTTTTTTTTTATTATCAATGTTTTCCCCCTAATGCTTTGAGTATTCAATAATCCTTAGAAGTGCAGAGAAAAAGAGAGAAAATGGGACTTAGGATGTTCATTGCTTCAAATGGTGGATTTCTAAAGGACTTTAAAATTGATCATCTGTGTAAGGCTTCTCTTTTGCATGGTAGCTGCAAGAGCTAATGGAGAGTTGGAAGACTCACCTCGGGTTTAAGGTGTAGTTTTAAAATGAGCTTATTAGTCTTGGAAAGGTATCTCAAAGATTAGAATTAAAACACTCATACCTGACACTGCTTGGCACCAGTGGCTGTCCCAACGCTGTGCACCTTGATTTGCAATGAAGGCTGTCACATTTTCAGGAATAGAGAAGAGGGAACAATTCTGAACATTGCAGAAAAAGCCAAAAATATGGCACAGGAGGAGTCATTTGTTTGACAGCCTCGTGTGGTTGGGGTGGGGTTTTTTTCATATTTTTCTGTGCATGTGTGCAAATTTGGCTGAATTTTTTTTTTTTTTTTTTTTTTAACTTCTCTTTGCTCTTTTAGGTATTCATCAGGACATTAGCCTATTCAGCTTGGACGCTTGAATCGGAAGACGTAGCCTCTGTAGAGATCATTTACAAAGATGTCAAAAAAAAGGCAAATGAATCCAGTGCTGGCGTCGATGATGAAGATGACAGCGATGACAGTGACAGTGATGCCATAAGTAATCATGACTATACAAGGCGTGATATGATCAGTGGAGTACCTCATTCCTCTGACACTCCGAATGTGTTCGTGCAGTATTCTATAAACAGTACGTGTGACGACAGCAGCAGCCAGGCAAGTGGAAATCCAGACGCTGACCCAGAAGACTTTGAAGAGCACGAGGTGGATGTTGAAGAAAACAAAGATGCAAGTAGTGAGTTCCTTAACCCTTTTTCAGATGTACATTGTAACTATGCTTCCAGTCAAAGGAACAGTGCTTGCTTTACCATCAGCTTAAAAACGGTGCTGTTGGGAGCCTCTGAAGAGAGCGCGGACAAGTCTGCAGCTCTTCTTTCTTCCCAGGAAGATGCAGTTGACTGGCAATGTCCTCGTGCTTTTGAATCAAAAATCCTGGATGACACAGAAAGTGTGCAGAAACCCCACAGTGGTAACGGCTCTCATGAGTGGCAAAATTCCTCTTGTTCATCTGATGAAAGTGACTCGTCAGATTCAGATATGGACCAAAAAACTGAATACGTAAGAAGATGAATAAATGAGGACCGCTGTTGTTTTATAACATATGACTTAATATTGTCCAACTTTATTTCTGGACTCAACATACATACTTATCTTGTCTTTTTGTTTTTAGCATTCTGTGAGTATATGCCTGAATGCTGGAAGTATATAATACACATTTTTAACCAATATTTCTCTCATCTCTCCAGGTTTCGCTAGGTATAGTTCAGGTTGGATTATCCGCAGAGAAAGAAAAGTGACTGTTCAGCTGCAGCAGGAAGAGCAGTTATTTCATTTTGCCGCTTGATAAGTGAGTTGTGCTTTTTAGCTGTTAAGAAGAAAATCTTTTCTGTAACTCAGCTGAGAAGTTCGTTTGTAGTACAGGAAGCTGTGAGTGGCTGGTCTCTCAACCAAGACCGTTTTTTAATTTGAAAGGACTCTGCTGTTACTGTTTAGCTCCGTTGATGGACTACTCTGAAACCTGTTCTGTGGGATGGATTGCTGTATTCCAGTCAGTGAACAGACTTTCACATTGGTGAAGAGGAAGCTGACCAACTGAAATAAGGGGGGCAGATCACAGGAGAGTTCTCATTACTGTGAATCGAGGCATTAAGTACACCTTTTTATATTTTTTATTGTAATTTGTGCAATTATTGACTACTCCCCTTTTTAAAAATCTTTTTATGACATTTAAAAGCTATGGCCGTGAATGTTTTCAGACGCAGCGCCGATGGACGCCTTTCCAAAGCTGGGGGGAGGCTGGGGTGCTGGGTCGGCTCTTTGTGGCAGGGGCAGGGCAGCCGCGGCGGACGGGGGAGGCCTTG